ACTTTACATACAATGACGATACTATTAGATAAATTTGCCATACAATTTTCCCTACTGGCAACAGTGTTGTCTGTTGTAGTACTATCTGTGAAATCAAGACAGTAATAAATGTAAATTTACCTTGATCAAGACATGTATAGTTCATGAGGTAGAGGCCATACAAGTGCTGAAAGAATAATAAATCACCATTAACATGACAAATCATATTAAATATGTCTGACTACCCTTAATACCTATAATAGTGGAGATCTTCCAAAGATATTATCATTACAAAAATGGATATTTTACCAAATGTTCAAAGTTACTCTTACCTCTTCATATCAGCATGATGAGAAACTCACCCGCCGTCCGAAAACCACCTTATATACTCATCAATAGTCGACACAGTGAAGCACAAACAAAGGGGAAATTACAGACTTCAGTTTAACGGCATCTTTCCCACACAGTTTAGGTGTTACTTTTCACAAACTAGTTGCAAATGTAGACATGAAATTAGTACGGCGTTGGCAGTTTTTCAGTCTGTATGGTCAGCAGGCAGTGGTGAAACTGTAAAAGTTGTTCTTTTGTCAGTACAGTTACCCCTCAATGTCCACAGATGGATGGAAGTGTGAAAACGGTCAAATGAGCATTCATGTGACGACTGCAACTCATGCTAAACAGAATATATTATCAAAATGACACGTAACAAACAATTGCAACATAAATCAGTGTAAATCAGTGATAAATGTGTACTTGGAGACGACGTTGGCCTTTAAGATGGGTGTGAAATTTACTGTTTACTTTTAATTAAATTGGAGGAACAATGAAGCGATCACTGCAATAACTTGAAATTGATATTCCAATAATGCAAAAGTGTGATTTTACAGAAGAGTCTGGACTATATTTTCATTTAATGAGCTTCTCTGTGAACTCTGAGATCAGAATTTATGAAAAACTCAGCAGCAAGGAGGATTGTTGAATCCAAATGCTTTCTTTTCCCTCGCATGGGTCCAAACACATCATATACAGCAAATTCTGCTCATCTGAGAGTTTGTATCCACACAAGAAGTGGATGTTTCCACCAAACACACCACTAGAGGGTAACAGCAGCAAACCAGCTTCGAGCACCATTACCCAATCATTGTAATTATAAAGGTCTTTACTTGAAAAAGAGAAACTACAACAATGCTTGAAGTCCTTCACTTGCAGCACACAAAGGCTTTAAAACACGCCAGTGACAAAGCAACTTCCATACTTGTGAAATCATAACCAGCTCTTCATGAAAATACTTGGCGTGGCTGCAGGGTCTCTGTTGGCAGCTACTGCGTTGACAGGCCACTTTCATGATGTTTGTAGCTGTGATGCCAGACATCGAGGGCACCAGGACATAGGTCACTATTCAACAGAGTAGAGCTTCATTCATCAGAGTACATATATTCTTTGTTGTGTTTTAGTAATTCCCAACCCCCACAAACAAATGTGTTCACTTGAATTGATTTTAAACTGGGTGTTATTATATTAAAGTGGATATTGTGCCAAGATTTTCAAGATAAATTCAAACATTTATCTTTTAGTTATCCATTATTTGTAGCTAACTAGTTAGCTAAAAGCAATGGATACTGGTAGACATAGATGAATAATATATTTATCTCTGTCTAACAGACAGTATCAACTTTCAGTAAACTATTTTAAACATTTTAGCCTACTTTAAGTTACAAGTTACTTTTAGGCCTATCCATTACTAGCCTATGTCAACTGTTGTACATTACTGTATCTGTCAACCAATATTTATTTCATTTAGCTTACTGTAGCTGTTATAGCCACTTCTTATAGCTAACTATATCAAACACTGATCTATTACTTTTAGGTATCTATGTCTACCAATATCCATTACTTTTAGCTAAATATATCAGCTGTTTTTTTTTTACTTTTAGCATATTTTAACCATTCGCCCAATACTTCCAGCTAACTGTGTCAACGTTTCTGTGTGTAATGTAGCCTACTTTCAATGGCTACACCTGTTTAGGCATTACAGCTGACTCATATATGTTTTTATTCAAATCTTAGTTTCTATTTTTATATTAGTTGAGCTTCTTAACAATCTTTCCACGTCCGTTGGCACCTGCAGAAGTATCACCAGTGGCTGGGATTCACTGTTGTGTTGTCAATTAACTTGAACTTTCCTCCATTTGTTCCATTTTTATTAGTACACATGGCACACGTTACGCACGACAGAGATTATGTGAGATGTTGTTAAGAAGAAGCAGATATTGGACATGATGTTCCTCTCGCTGTGCAGCAGTTGTTCCTGTTGCTATGGAGAGTTTATCAGCCTTATGTTTGTATGAGATAAGGAGAAGGGCACTGTTGGATTCTTTCCACTCCTTCATGTAGCTGTGGTGGTAAACACCTTGGTTCAATGGTCGTATTTAGATCAGCTGCTGTTGGCCTGTTGGCCCATGTAAACATGAAACTGACTGTAAAATGAGCCTCACTTGACATCTGCCGTCCGCAGGATCTTTCTTTCATCAACAAAAACAGGGAGGCATCCACAGAAAAAATGGGCCAGATTAAATATAGCACCTGCATGCTTAGTCAACTCTACTTGTAAATAATATGTATTGTCAAATTTAAAGAGAAAAAGGGTTTAAGAGATAAAAACACAGTGAAGTTTAAGCCAGATACAGTATTTTCTTTCGTTATTCAGTGGTGGAAGACGTATTCTGTAAATTTACTTGAGTGAAATTTGAAAAAAACACACAAATATGATCAGCAAAAAGTACTGAAGTTTAAGTAAAAGTACTGCTTATACAAAATTCCCCATTCAGAATGTTTTCATACATTATAAAATATATATTATTATATTATATATTATGAATTGTTCTCCTTTTTACTGATTAATTTGGCAGCAGTTTAATGTTGCAGCAGGTTTAGGTGGAGCTAATTTCAACTATATACAGTCGGGTAGTTATTTTAAATTGATTTAGAAAACTTTTCAAACATCAAAGCAAAATAAATAATAAATTATAATAAGCATGCAGCAAAGAGGGCTGCCAAGTAAATACACAGAAAGTGCTAGACAGTACGTCAAAAAAAGCCAGGTTGAGTCATTTGTTCCAACCTTGGTGTTATCTAGAAGGGCAGCGATGGGCTCCCAACGCTTGAGAATTACTTCAGCGGTTTTATACCGAAGAATTATTCATTAAAATCAGTCTTGACTCAAAGATCAAGTCTTGCTATATGGCTGTAGATGTCTGGGAAGACGTCATGTCTTTGCCATATACATGTTGGCTTATGAACCTTTAAAGTGCAACCTGCAACAAGTTGAATATATCTATAAATAACCACCAGCCTATTCAATGATGTTCCCTTCTCAGATTGTTTCATTTGAGTAGTTTTCAGAGGTCTTAGGAGGTAAAATTATCAAGTATTTCACAATAATAAGCAATTAGCATCTGGAGAAAAGTCTGATTTTCGTAGCAGATATGTGCTTTTTGTTCTTGGTTTGGATCTTGTCAATTATTGTGTGACACCTCAGATTTATCTAGTGAGACTACCAACTAAAATTCTCTCACCAGTACCGTGCTGGTGAGAGACAGGCCCAGTGTGATGTGATGTACAGCGCCCTTTACAACTTTTCTATCTGTCACACTACAGTGGAACAAGGGTAAATCTTGTGAGAGCTGAGAGCTTGCACAGTAATTGGTGAGAAAAGCACAAGCTCATCATATGGTGTGTAAAATCTTAGATTAGAAGTAACTATAGCTATCAACAGCCTCAAAATCAAGTACAGCACTAAGTACATACGCTGAGTAACTGTTTATCACTGTCATTACTGTATGCTGCCTCTCTCTCTTTTCATATAGTGCAAATATGTGACACAACAGAAGCCATCTAATATTAGAACTCCCTTCAGGCTCTTACCCTTCAGCTGCGTGAGTCTCACATGACCCTGATCTCAAACAACCACAAGACAGTGACCTGTCTATTTCCCCGTGATGACCTTACTGTCTTACTGGGCTCCGAGCTCAGTGTGATCCACCTCGTCATTTGCTGGCATGATAGAGGCATCACTCTTTGTAGCCACAGGCGGAGGAAAACTAACGGAGTGGAAACTTCTACAGACATAAATCTGTCTGTGACAATGTACACAGTACAGATTTTTTTGTGTGCCTGAGGGTCTGGTACTGGAATGGCTGCAGGGTAGAGTTGCTGAACATGATATCCAGTGACACTGAGATAAAAGCTATCTTTACTTTGTTTCTCTCTTTTCGTAATTTCCTTTTTTTGTCCCACACAGCTGCAATCCAAACTTTAAAGTCCCCCTGATATTTGAGCTTCACTGTGCAGAATGACGTATGTGCAGAGTTGGACACTAGGGTGGTAAAGGATGTTTTCACGTTCATCTGCTGAAAGTGGAAAGTTTCTCTGAGCTCACTTTCTTCTTGATTAAGCAGCTTTTACTAGTAATTTTAAGTGACACTAACTTAGTTTTGTAAGTTAGAGTAACATTCCTGATTAAGTACTTTTTACCAGGTACTTTGTTTTCTCCGTACAAATAAAGATTAAAAAAATAAAATCAGTGTCACTTAAATTTACTAAAGCTACTTAATTAAGTTTTTTTTACTTAATAACAAAATTAAGATCGTTTTTCTCAAGATTTGATGTAATCAGTTTCAACACTTGAAGCCACTAGCGCAGACACTGAGAATGGACTTTCAGGGAAGTAGGAGACATCTTGTGTCCAGCAGGAAATGAATTCAATTTGAATATTCATAGATTCTTGAATTTTTAATGAGGTAGAAGTAGCAGATGCCTTTTTTAAGGATTTTAATGTAGAATTTATACAATTTTCTTGCTCAAAATACAGACACACATTACTGTTCCAAGCAGACATATCTGGAAAGGATCTTTAAGAAAAATGTACACCACAGGGGCCGTCCATCGATTACCTCTATACAGCTAAATCAACTCTACTTTTAAACACAGCATGCAGAATAAAATAACACAAGAGAAGCATGTTGTACTGACATAGTTGTTTTTAATTATTTGGACTGTATTTACAATGTGTACAATCAGCTCAGTGACAAAAGAGTAGCTATAAAAATAACCTTTCACATACTGTATGATTAAGATAAATTTAATACAAAAGAAAACTGTATTCCAACACATATGGACCCAGGGCATTTTTTTCCTCATATGGCACAGTGTAATAAATTATCTGAGACTGGCCTTGCCTTATTGGATCACAGAATGGTCTTGAACTCAAACATGACATGTGCTGCCCTCCGGGGTTTAATAACACTACCCTTCATTGAAGCCAGCTACAAACATTAAACCTCCAAACAAGTGTAGCAAAAAGCTCTGGTGGCTGGCTGTAAAACGTGTTACATCAGAGAGAACTAGGACCCTATAATGCTGTAATTCCTATCATGTAACACTCTTGTCTCTATAATGAATGCAAATTAATGTATAGAAAAGAGTGGAGTACATTCAGCCTGGTCCAGACAACTGATGTTAAGATAACACTGTATCTTATCAGTGAAAGCGAATACTGATTAAAAATTTAAAGGCTGAAATATCAAAAGCTTGAACAAATATCCATGCAGAAAGCACAAAACCACTCATCTTACAAGTCATACATTTGTTCAAATTAGTAATACAGTACTTAACAACTGAACAAGGTGCACCATGGGTATTACTTTAAATAGTTTCAAGTATTTTTAATGAAATGAGCCTTTGGGTGAAGTTGCTACGGTAAGGCTTGGGTGACATTTCCTACAGTAGATAATATCTGGTCCTCTTTCAATTATTCAACAACAGCTTCCCCCTGTGCAACTGAATATCTCAACATCTGCTGTAATAACCTCACCACATGTGGAGTGTCTTAAACTGTAATATTTAGACCCTCCTTTGTTACTTTACGTCGGTCCACTTATATTCCCACTTTCTTAATCACAACAACGTACCCATAACATGCTAGGTGCAGCCTCTGTCTCTACCTGCACGTCCCTGTTGATGCAACACTGGAGATGTCTCAGCTGTTTTCTATTTTCTTATGAAGAACCCAAAAGAACAACGGGGACTTAAAGCAACATTAACATGCTACTGCTAAAACCAGACTGAAATATAAGACGACACCGTCCGCTTCTGTCTGGAGATGACCGTCTCAGTTGAAAAAAAGGTTTGGTGCCCAAATCTACCTCGGCAGATGAAGACATGGGAATATGAGGACAGAAATTCTGAAGCCGTCACAGTCCGTAGACCTGAAGGACTTTTCACTTGGCCACCTTATAGTTGCTCAGGTCTAGGGGCTCTTTACTGGGTATACACCAGTCGTCAGCCTCTTGGCTCACTTTGTAGTTCTTCAGAGCAGTTTTGTTGTACACCGGCAGCCTCTCGATGGAGTCGGTGGACAGCGCCTGAAGGGACAACAAGACAAGATGTAATTACAAATATCCTGTCAAACCTGCAGTGGCACCACAGGTCTGCATTGTTTGGTTTGTGTGTAACTAAATTATGTCACAAGGCTGTTTTCTCCCTCTGTAATGTGCTGTAAACTTGCTAACTCTTGGCATCCTGTCACAGTTTCATGCATGATCACCATGTCTGGCTCACCTTCAAGTAGATGACAGCGTCTGTGCCGTGGCCCTCCATGGAGTAGAGCTGCAGGTCCCCCTGGAAGTACTTGGCGTAGAGACGAGAGATGGGCAGACCGTAGCCGAAGCCAGCCTGCACAGACACAGAGGGGATCAAGGGTTTAAGAAGGCTTTGTTCTCTGTCAGACTGCAAGCAGCAACGCTTTTACATGGAACAAACAGGACTTTTGTTAAGTTTGCTTTGTGTATTGTAGGTCACTCTTTTTTTTTTTTCGAGAAAAGAAATGATGCCAGGATCTTTAAATAGGAAAGAGAATATAAATAAAAGGCAAGACGAGCGTTTTGATGCTTATAGGCTGCTCAGATATGCAACCAAACGGCATATGGTGCAATTAACAGCATCTTTGCGCCTGCAAAACAAACCTATATTTGTTTTTCAATATATGTAGGAGTGAAAGAATAATAATAATAATAATAATAATAAATGCCTGTGTCTCTACTTACCAGTGGAGGCCGTGTGTGCTCTCCCATCTGTGGAGCAGGAGCGGTGGAGTACATGTAGCTGAAAAGGTTCTCGATCCGTCGAAAGGGGACACCGCCGCCCTTGTCGCTCACCTACAGACGGAGGACAATGTAGGGGAAAGGAGAGAGAATGATGTGAGGTCCTTGAGCAGTGCCGAGCCATTAAAAGGTAGAGACGATGCCAACAGACAAGTGCCTGTCTGTCATTAACACTCATTAACACTTAAGAATAGAAGTTAAGTGGCCTTCTGTTTGTTTGCTCATATGTCAGGGTAAATGTGCAGGAGGATCTGTATTAATAATAATAATAATAATAATAATAAGTCTATTATACAGTCATATCAAGGATTGCCTTTACCTCCAGAGCTCATATTATTTTATTTAAGATTTTTTAATTAACACAACACTGACATGTTGTGACCTTTAAAGTTTGTGTTAGCAAACAGTAGCTTAATTACACCTCCAGCAGACACAGAGCTGCTTAATGTCGTGTTTGTGTCCAATATTTACTCTCCTATTAGCTAACTTCGCCAACTGTGTCTCTGCTGTTTGGTGCTGTGCAGGTAGCGTTTATATGAGCTTTTTTTGCTGAAAACAGCTGGGCTTGGGTTAAGAGTGAACCAAAACAAGTTTTGGGCAGCAAAACCAAAACGATGAGCTGAAAGACATTAAAAGGGGGCAAGCTACAGGGAACTGCAGAGTCTGGTGATCTGTGGATCCACTCAAAAATGTGAACCATCGTAGATATGACAATATTGTTTAGTACAGCTTAAAGTCCAAATCTTTTAACTTTTAGCACTTTGATAAATTAGACCAGACTGATGCGTGTCATTGTTTGTGTGGTACATTACCTCCTGTCTATGTCTGTGTGACAACAAGCAGTCTTAGTAACATGACACAAGCATTAAGACAAGATTTATGAAGGCACACAGCTCATGTAGTTAATCTTATCAGAGCTTAGTAGCTTTTATTGCCAGTAGGCGCTGTGCTTAATTGAGGGTGAAGCCGTTACATAACGGGTTTAGAGAAAGATTTGGGTGGCAACAACAACAAAAAAAGGTGGCGCTCTTAGCTTTAAAAGTAAAGGCATACTATACTGCATGTGCAATAGGGATTTACGATTAATTCATCCAAAAGTAAACTCATTTGAACTTGTGCAATAACAAAAGTGGAGAAGATTAACTTAGGGAAATAATTTTATATTTACAGGCTTCATTAAACTTGTTAAACATGTGCTGATTCACACAGAGCTTAAAAAGACACCCACATTCCCAATTCACTCCTACAGGCAATTTCAAAGCTCTAATCCACTATAAGCAAGTATGTGAAGAATATGGGAGGATACTCCTACGAGAAACCTACACAAACAGAACATGGCGTGGAAAAGGGTCCACCTTAAAGAGCCTGTATGCTGCACTGACTGTAAACAACAACCTAAGTGACCCTCTTTGCATTGCACCTTTCCGTATTTACAGAAATAACCATTTCAGAGAAGGTGTACTGTAATTTGCAACCCACCTTGATTGACATGTCCTCGCCTCCAAGAGACACCATGACTTGAATGGGAGGAAGGTTATTGCTGTTCTCGTGGGTCTCGATGGTGGCTCTCATAGCATTCTGCAAAAAGGAAAATATCGTGTTTTTTAAAAATAATTTGAAATTTCTTTTTCATTGTGATATGATGCAAACTATTGGACGTGTCGTACCTTAAAGAGCTCAAACAGCATGTGATAGAGGTGAGAGGGAACGTATACGATGCTTATTGGAAGGTTCTTCTTGTCTGCACAGGGAGGGAAAAACAAACAGTGTTCCTTAATTCCGCCCACTTCATTTAAAATTCATCATCCTCACCACTCGCTGATGTTTTCCATCAGCTGCAATTATTCTGTTCTGCTCTGGTTTTAAGGTTTGAGAGGATGGAGAGGGAAGGGTCCGTGTGTCAATATTGTCTCATGCCGTCAGCAGGACCCACTTAGCCATACTTCAGTGCTATAATTAGAGGCCCCTCAGGTCCATCTGGCTGAATGTGAATTTACATGCAAGCACTCATACTGTATGTACACACAGAGTACTTGGCTCTATTTGTTCTTGATCTAAATCTCTTGCACAGACTATGGGGACTTTTGCCCTTTGGGATTTTGGCATTAAGAGTACAACTGGGTTTGTGTTTAACCTGCCACATGAAATCAATGTAAACTTACTGCTCATCTCCTGTAGTATCAGGTCAGGGGAGCAGAGATAGTACTGGTCGCACAGCATCTTGGCACTGTGGAAGGCATCTGGACAAAAAAATAATAATGTCAGAAATTATGATTACAACAAAACAAAACAAAAAGAATGGAATTATTTTTGTAAACACAGGATACAAATACAATACTAAAAACACTCCAATGCTGGTGTTAAATTAGTAATCAATAAAAAAAACTGCACCTGGATTACAAAAAAAAATGTTTACACATCAAAATTATTGTTCTTTGTCAAATTACATTTAACATAACATAAATTCATATTTACCCTGAACTACATCTCCAACTTGACAGAGAGGGTCAATGCTCCCGATGGTGTTTGGGTGGACAGGGTTGGCACTTCCATCAAAAATAAGAGCTGCAGAGAACAAAAAAATAGTCAAATTATTATTATTATTAAACCACAAACACATCAAGGTAAGTAAAAAATTCGGGCCACGTATAATTAGAAATTTGGCCAATTCAGGACTAGTTTTAGTACCGATTTTACAGATGTTGTTGATGCCAAGATTATAAAAATGTTGTTTGTACAAAAACTATTTTCCACATGACAAAACAAATCAAACTCGTCTATACTTCCTCTCAACGTAAAGCAGTTGTTTGATATTCTCAAAACACACAGTAACTAACGCAATTATGGTTTGAATAAGCAAACGAGTAACCAAATACTAAATAAACAAGACCGAGATCCTCTGAAGCGTTTGACGCCAACATTTGGTACTTTTTGCTGGAAGCACATTTCATAATAAAATAAGTACAGGGAAAGAAAACAGAACATGTCATAAGACACATATGAGGTCCTACTTTAAATTCATTAAAACATAACGGTTTTCCCTTCATGCAACAGTAGTTTTGAAAGAGTACATTCTCACAGCAGCTAGATACACCAACAATCTTTGCTCCACATGACTGATACAAACACTACAACAAACACAGCTCTTAACAGCAGAATGTCGTCCTATAGCCGGCAATCTGCTGTTCCTTCCTAGTGTTTTCAGCACTATGAATATATATGAATTTAAAACCACATTTACTTCTGTCTACATCCGTTTACACTCCAGATTAATTTTTGTAACACAAGCTGCATGATTAAACAGAAATGTTTTGATGGGAGGTCTAGCTTTGACTCTAACTGCTCCCCAGGCTAGAAGAAACATCTCACATATAAATAATGTAATGGATGTGACAATAAAGTTTGTGAGGCGATGTGTTTTTTGAAGGATTATATCTTAGCAGAGACTTATTTTTCCCTCTGGGTGTCATGCAACAGACAGTGAGCAGTCTGGTATGACAACATTCATTTTGGATACAATGCAGGAAGAATAAAAACTTTGTGTAATCTTGTTCTGAAATCTTTTAAATCTGTGGATGTTTGATGTTTTTCATATAATAAATGGATTTATGTGAAGGTACAAAAACATAACTTGGTATCTGTGTTGATTGCATACAGACATAATCCAGGAAAATGTTAAAGAGAAGCTGTGTGCTGCACGTGTGCACGACATTTTTCTAGACTCTTTAAACTACATAGATAGATAGATAGATAGATAGATAGATAGATAGATAGATAGATAGATACTTTATTTATCCCGAGGGAAAGAGATTGTCAGGCACAGTGAATTTTGAAATGTTACTCACTGTGCTGGTTGATGAGCATGCGGATAGAGATGCGGCTCATGTAGAAGCGGTCCAAAAAGTACTGGATATTCTGGTTGGTTACTGCATCATGGGGGAAGGTCTCTTTGTATTCTATGATACCCTGGGCCATTGTTGGCACCACATCGTTGTGCCTGTTTCTGATGGTAACTAGGGCATCAACAAACCTGGGGAGGAGAGACATAAAGTTGTATTACATCACAGTACAGGTGGACATATGCAGGAATTAAGTTCCCAAATTAGAAAAATAAAGCTGGCTGACATACGAAAATTCTGACATAAACACACAGCCTAAAAAAACTCATGCTTTATTGCGTTGTCATGTCGCTTTAAAAACTGGAGAACAGGACACACTCTCTCTGCCTGAAGAATAAATGTGAGACAGTCCAGGAAAATGAGTGACTTACTCTCCCAGGACTTTGTAGTCATCAGGGTTCTTGTCAAGGAATTCAAGGATCTCAATTAAACTCTGGATGTACCTGACAAAAATAAAAGAAATAAAAGATGTTCACACACATAAAGACGTTGTTAAGGGCAGAAACCAAGTTGAGTGAGCCTGTCTTTAATGTTTGCAAAGATAGGATTGGTCACAGTGCATCCCCTCACAAAGGAAAGAGAAGCAGACACTCTTGAAAACAGAGTCACGTGACGTGTGACGAGAAACTAGGGTAAAGTTCAGAGCTTAGAGCCCCCCCCCCCCTGCACAGGGCTGGTTGGAAGGAGTTCAACTCGGTCAAAGGGTGCTTTTGTATTTCTGAGCATGACGTTTCCACAGTGGGGAAATTAAACCGTCCCACTACGAGGAAGTAAACAAGTTAACAGCTGTTAAAGTCTCACCGGATAGGGGATGAAATATCTGGTGTCAAATAAGGTTATTGTGAATAACCACAGTGTCAGAGCATTGTTGTTTTGTTTGGGATCATGTTTCTGTGGAATCAAAGCCATAGTTGAGTTGTTAGGTAACTTGGATCATAATATCATTTAAAGCATTTTCCCCCTGGTTTGACTTACCAGCTCTGCACCATTTTCACAGGCTGCGTTGTGAGCAGTTTGTCAGGTAGCAAGTTGATTTCCTTCATAATGTTTGAAAGTCTTACAGGGAGCTCTTGTCTCAGAAACACAAAAGATGTCTTCTCACAGGCGTTGATGGAACCTAAAGTCAACACAGAAACAGAATAATAATTAGAGCTGAAGCAATCGTGGTTTTAATTATGTTTCAATCACAGTTTTCCAGCTTCTAAAATATGATGTTTTTCAGCTTTTCTCTGACTTATTTCATAGTAAATTGAATATATTTGAGTTTTTAACTGTTCTTTTTCACATTTTATTGGCTTAACAAACAATGTGTTTGTGGAAACTGAAATGAATCGATGAAAATGATCATCGGTTGCAGTTTTTTCTGCTAGATCGATGGACAGAACTGGACCACTGGAGGTCTGGACTGCAACTTATTTGAAGGCATCAGCAAATTTTGAGAATTTTTAGATATAGACATATTTCAATAATCTTTCAACCACTTAATTAATTAAATAATTAACAAGAACAAATACTTATAGATCATGAAAATAACCATTAACCCACATAACCCTAATACAAAAAAAAGATCATTATAAACTAGATATTTGTATTGTTTACAAGCATTTTTCTCTGCAAACAGTAATCACATTCCTACACTGAATTCCTCTGCACACTTTGCATGACAGCTCATTTGCAAGCTGCTGAGAAGACTATTGTTATTTATCAGGGATGATTAGTTGGAGCTATGCAATTCAGTGTGTCCTTCAGGAAAAGGGCCCAAACCTGCCTGAGCTTGCTACAGATCTGACGCAACACTCTGCACCTATGAGCACTAAGCAGATGCAGACACCTCCAGCACCGCACAGCAGAGAGATGGTGGCTCGTTTTCACACATTATGCATTGGAACAGTGTCACATAACATGCTCCCCTGTTCACATGGCACAAACTGACCGATCTGATCGGGGATCGATACTCACCGAAATCCAGAAACTGCTTCATGGAGAGCGGTGAAGGAGAAAATTTGGAAAAATGTTCGATATGTTTAGGCACACTGGCCATGGCGGCGTTTTTCATGATGAACCTAACGAACTTCATTGTTGCTGTGCAGAGTCGTGGCTCTTGTGTTCGACCACCACCACGTCCGATACTAGGTTACTCAACTGACCGGACTTGCTATCGTTCCTGTCGGGTAAAAACAGGGGGAGGCCACCAGAGCTCCAGCCAATGGAAGGGCGGGATTCTGTTATTGACGTCCCAGACTGGCCAATAGGAGTCGCTGGAGGGGGCGGGGTTAATGTGTTTGGGTGCTCCCAGTGTGGACTCTCCATCTGAGAGGCACTTTCTCCCTGTTTGATTATGTGAGCAGGTGATTAACTGATCAATCCTGAAATAATCAACCCATAGATGAACAAATGTGCTAATTAGATGTCCCTAATGACCCCATGCGCTGCCCTTTATAGTGGTGGGAAACAACTAAGTACATTTGGCCTCCTTTAGTTGAGTATTTCCATTATAGAAGTATTTTTTACTTCTACTGCAACACATTTCAGAGGGAAATATTGCACTTTGTACTCCGCTACATTTATCTGACAGCTTTAAGCACTAATTCAGTAACTTTAACTTGTGTAAAAGTAGCAATAATACAGTATAAAACATTCAAACTCTTACTTGAGTACAAATATATTGGCATCAAAATGTACTTAAAGTACCTAAAGTAAAAGTACATATTATGTAGACTGGCCCATTTCAGAATAATTATATTACTGGATTGTGATTAGTGATGCATTAATATTGCAGCTGGTATAGGTGGAGAAAATTAAAACTACTTTATATACCGCTGGGTAGCTTAAACCATAATATTACCATAATTAAAATGATGTATAATTTGTATTAAAAATTTAGATCTGCATAGGAATTAGTAAGTTAAGCTGTAGAATAAATATAGTGGAGTAAAAACTTCCCTCTGAAATGTAATGAAGTACTGAAAAATGAAGATTCAAATCTTACACAGAAAACCTATATTGAGTTTATAAAATGATACATTGCTCAGAGGTGAACTGGCAAATAGTGATTGATTAAGTTTAGCTCCACTTCAACAAGTTACAAAACAGTAATAATAATATATGATACGGCAGCATTACAACGACAGGAGGTATTCTATGTTTGTGTGTCAGTGCACCGACTGATCAAAGACATAAGACAATCAATCGTCTCTCTGTGTCTTTGCATGTGTTGTTTGAGATCAAATTATCCTTTTAACTCTTTCATCATGAAGCATCAACCAGGGAACAAACCTGTGTTTGCTGTTGCTGAAAATGGGTCAGCAACACTACATGGTGCTGTGGGCATTGATCTGCGTCTAGAACAGCATCCACGCTGATTACAGACTTTCCACCACATTTTGAAATCTGGCTGCGGAGATTTGCTCCCATTCAGCCACAACACGCTGATAATGGGTGATAAGGTCTGGCACAGAGTTGGTATTCCAGTTCATCCCAGAGGTGGAGTGGGCTTTTTCCACTCAAGACTGGGGAAACCATTTCTTTATGCTTCTTTATTTACTGCTGTAGTGTGTCTGACATGCTTATGACCAGTTATTCTGTGGGTCTGATCATGGTCGGTTTGGCTGACATAGTGAACATAAACTGTTCTACAATCATGGCAGTTTTATTATCATATTATTAAATTATGAAAGTATAAAAAAGATGAGCGAACCGACAGAGCTGCTGCAGCTCAAGTAAGATAAGATAAGACGTTCCTTTATTGATGAGGGTCTTATTCAGGAGGTTTTACGAAAAGATTTTTGCCATCAAATTTGTAGTTAAAGTCCAGTGTGTAACATTTATTGGCAGAAATGGAATATGATATTCATAGGTATGATTTAATTTGTGTATATTGAGCTGTTCTATCTACAGACGCTGCGGGTCGCCTTCCATGGAGGCTACATGTTACTACAGTAGCCCATAACGATCAAACCAAACACTGGCTCTTGATAGGGCAGTTTTTCGTGCATTTTGCTGCCACTGTAGTTTCTCCCTCGTGGTTGGAAAGGAGACTAGTGAGTTGCAATCTGAAAATCCGACTCACTGGTCCTTTACAGCCCCTACAAGAAACTTTGATTTTGTGTTGATTCTGATTCTGTTCTTGTTTGTTTATGTAGGTCATATAGAAGCACTGGTATCACACTGAGCCTGTTTCATAATCAGTTAAAAACTCCTTGAAGTTACTTAAAAGCTCAGTGGAATTCCATCCACCTCCATCCTCATCTGGATGATAACAGTCTCCTTGTTTATTTCCTCCTCTCCTGATGGACAGAAGTTCATCCTCTGTGAATGAATCTCTGGAAGCTTGCCATCCACGGTTTTGAATAGAAATGCCTTTGTCAGGGAACACAGTGTCCCGGTCAGATCTCCCATTACATAAGCGGCGGCTGTGTCAGTACAGTTGGGATTGTCCTTATAAAGCCAGCCTGCCCTGCCTCTCTATCAAAACACTAGTTTGTACACCTTTTGTAGTTGCATGTGGGAGGCAATAAAAACCTGAAAGCAATATTGCAGTGTGATGTCAGAAATCTACGCCGCAAAATACCACGGCTCATTTCAACTCTGCCAGCTCACAGCAGATAATATGCTAATCCCTGCTAGACAATATCAAAACAAGTATTAGTCATATTGTTTTCAAGTGTCAGTTGTTTGGCTTTTTATTGGTTGTTGTGCTATATCAGCTACAAAGACAGGATCTTGTTTCAGCTCAAGGTATTTCGAGCGTTTTTTAACAGAACATCTGCAATAAGAGCTGCCCACACACAAAATATCAGCATATTTGGTATCCAAACCCCGACATTATTAATGTTTGACTTGCATTATGCTCTGGATTTAAATACTTTTGAGTCCACAAAATAACATGTCACACTACACATTTAAATGTGCCAGTCACAGCAAAACATGCTGTCCTTCAGGCAGATGTGTCCTTTGAAAGCGAGTACAGGAGTCAACTGAAGGAGCTCCTGCTGGGAAAGAAAAGGCCTTGGTCAGATTATTACCCGTGGAGATTTATTTGTGTTTGACCACAGGGAATTGAGGGCAGTAAAGGAGAAAAAACATGTATTTTTCTACATTTTTCAAAGTTGTTTTGGCCAGTTCATTTCATATTTCTGCAGTTCACTCAACACTGATGTGAGAATAAGGATTTGTAATGACTGCATGTCAGCCAGTGATAAAAACCAATCCTAAGCATCCTAACATACGGCACGTGGAGTACAATTCTCTAAAGTTCCTTCTAACATCATAGGGAGATTTCATTTGTGCTTCTATCGCCTGACGCTCCACATCATTTTACTTAAAAAGGAAATTAAAGCAGTGAGATTTCTTAGATATTTTTTGCAACATGAGTGCTAAGGTACATGCTGTGGTGTTTTGCACACACTGCAGTTTAATAGGTATCACACATTTTATGCTACCTGATACTTCTGCTCCTCTACATTTTAAGAGGGTCAGGTTCAGAGCTATAGATACAAGTTACTTTAGAGATTAAGATTTAAAACATATGATTAGCTCTTACAATAAGATGCATTTTTATAGATTAAACTAATACTAAGTAGTTAAATAAGTTTCACCTTGACCAACAACAACATTAAAGCACTACTTACACACTGTGGCATCAATAACATCAAGTAATGATTATTCAGATTGGTATTGGCACGCATACTGACCTTATTAAACAGATCAGGAATCAGCCAGAAATGTTTTGCACAGTAGCATTAGAAATAATACACAGAACTAATTCCAGTCTCAGCAGTGGGGATTTTAAATGTGGGAAAAGAGAGCACTGGTACCAAATCAATACAGTGGATTAGCTGATCTCCAGTCCCAGAGTTTTGGTATTGGAATTGTAGAGAAAAAGTCGGATCGGCCCAAATAACGGTCCCAGGGCAATTTTTGTGCAAAATAAGGACTTTTGATGCTTACAGTACATTTTGCTGAAATCCCTGGATGTCTTTCCTCGTCATTATTGCTTTAACTGTGGCTTATTAGTTGTTGTTTTCTACAAATCCATGAATTATAACTATTTCCAGTCTATAAGTTAAAAAGTTTTATTCTGTTGTAGCTTGAAACTGCAGGCTGTCGTTGTTTATAATTGGCCCTGGAGACACCTCTAGTGGAGAGCGCCTAACTGGTCAGGGGTGGTGGTGTAGGGCGGGGGTGTGGAGGGGGGGTATTTGTTGGCTACCCCCAGTACTTTTCCGCTCTCCCATCCGCCTACATTCCTGCCAGTAGTCAGCTCCTATTCCCCACTGTCAACAAACAGCTGGGCATATCAGGCCTAAATGTTTGGGCATTCTGTCAGTGCCGTACTGGTTGAAGAGTGTGTAACCGGACAACAACAACTCCAGTGGAAATTTCCTCTCGCTGCAGGCCAGGGGGAGCTGTTGATGGCCCTATAGGCAGAAGTGGGGTCACTGCAATTGGATTTAAATACCAACGATTCACTTCGCGGGGAGCAACTTTGTCTTAACAAAAGAATCCCCTCTTGATAAAAGTTTAAATCAAATTCTCAACTCTATCCTCAGTTATTACATGTTCCTGCTTACCAAAACATTTAATAATTAATCAAGCCCATTGCATTTAAACAATGTGTCTGGCCTGTGTAATCATTACAACATTCACTGTGTGTCTATTCACAAAACAACTGATAATGGCAGTGCTACGTAAATGCAGATTAGAGGAGACGTCCCACTAATCAAGCATACGAACTGAGCTCTTACGTGGTCATTATAATCACTTTGGAAGGAGCAACTGACAGCGAACAATGAAAAAAACGACCGGGGGAAGTAGAAATGAAAGAGAGAAAACTTAAGCATAGGCATGGACTGAATTCTCAAATGTAGCCAAAAATTATGTTTGACTGCAGATTTGTTCGTAATTTATTCACTGTCTAGCCTTCTAATTAGATGGCTGATGTTGAGCTTGAATCGTGTTTTAAGTATATTTTGTAAAGATCTCACCCCGCACTGAAAAGATAAAACAACAAGAATAAGGCTAAATCTCTTCTTCTTCATCCTCTGTTGTTTGGCAGAAGACAGAATAGTGCATCACATCCAACACCTGATAGGCAACTGTCTGGTTATTGTACTGAATATCAGCTGTTTAAACCTCCATTCTGTCCCATCCTGCTGTCTGTTTTAATACAGCCAAACTAAAGATTGAATTGTTCCCATTTACACATTTTTCTCTTATCAGAAACCTGAATGAACATAAAAAGCTATTTGATTTCTGATAATAAGCAGGCGTACAGTAAATCACTAGTGTTAATTTTGTGAATTTGTCAGACAAAATAAACATAAATACAGGTTGATGACAACAGCTGTGCGATCTGCTACGGACAAGACAGATGACAAAGCAACCCTCTCTCCTAGAAATTACATTTATATAATACCAGTGGTGGAAAGTACATTTACACAAGTATAAACTTGATGTATCTGTACTTTACTTGAGTATATACTGTGATATCACTTGTAGAATATTCAATTCAAGAGAGACACAAAGAGATAGAGATCCACAGCAGCAACAGTAACAATAACAGCCATTATAATAGAAATATTACTAGTAATGATAATGACGATGGGAGTGATGATAATGATGATGATGATGATGATGATGATGATGATGATAATCATAATCATATTATTATTAGCAGTGGGCTTAAAGCAGGACCAGGACAGTCCATCCCTGATCTAGGCACAACTATGATTCATGGGAACCTGAGAGACAAGAAAGCAGAAAAACTCTGGGGAAGAAGCTAAGTTAGTAACACACACTAATAGGACATGAATGTGTACAGATAGAGAGGGAGAGGAGGAGAGAGGAGCTCAGTACATCATGGGAAGTTTAATAATTATCAATCCTGTACTGATGGGTTGGTTCTTTGTTAAATGTCTTTCACAGTAGACATCATTTGTTGCCCACAGACTCAAGGGTGATGTCTCAAAAAACAGTTTTCTTCTTTTTCTTCCCACTGCTGGATTGGCCTCAGTCCCCCTGTGAGAGAGATAAAGTGAAAAAGCAACAGTGAGGAAAATGAATGAATCAGTACATTCATCACAACATTAAATAAAAGCCTGTTTATATGAAGGGTATGTTATATAAGGAACGCCCACAAGTATGTTATTTCTTTGATGAAGTATGTGTGAGGGTGATGGTTGGGTGAAAATCACTATAATATCCCTGTAATCAATGGAGCCAGGACTCTCTGGACGGTCTGATTCAACCAGGTACATTTCTCTGAATACATTTTGAGCCTGAAAGCTTTGTTTCTTGTGCTCATCTTGTCTGTTTATTCCTGTTAGATGTCTGAGGAAGAAACAAAAGCCGTATAATCACATTTTTTAAAGGGCATTCCCTCAGAAGTGCACATCCGCAGCTTGTTGCCCTGCCAAGAAGTATTTCCTAAAAGTGTATTTTTAAAAATCTATTTCTGGAGTTTAGCACAACAGCACACAGTATATACCTTTTTAATGGAAAAAAAATATGTTTTTATGTGACCACTGAGATAAATATGCAATCCAATCCGAGACTTCAAACTATATATATCACTATAAATATTGAATACAAAAAAATTGTCTTCAATGTAACATCTAGTATGTGTTGTTTCAGGTAATACAAAAGCTTTCAGTATTCAGTTAAACTTACATCCACAAAAAGGACTGTTGCATCGATAAGATTGAGTGCTTTTACCCTTTAGTCTTCCTGGTGAAACAGCATGAGGTGGATGAACATAAATAGGCCCTTGAACAAAACTTTATTGATCAATATATGGTGTTTAAACCTTGACATAACTTATTCCACAGTAAACATAAACAAACACACAAAACATAAAAACACAGAGTGCTTTGGTGCATTTATGCATATCAGTCAATTGTTTTGGTCAGTATATGGTTTTAGAATCAGACTTCATTGATATCTGAGCGGGAAATTCACATACAGCACAGAGACAGGCTAACAGGTAATAAAATAGATCTTTTTGAATGAAATAAGTCAAGTAAACTATGATAAGAGATTGAAAGCTACATACAGTATATACATTACAATACCTTAGACTATATCAGTGATTTGTGCAAACATTTGTACAAAATAAGTCCATTGTGCAACTCCGGAAGCCATGATGTGTGAACTAAAATATATTCAAAGTATATAGGCAGTAATAATAATCATAATATACATAATAATGTTAGATAACATACACAAACTTACGGTAGAAATACAAATATCCGTCCCTCCAGGATTTCATTGGCTTTTTTTGGGATAGTTTTAGCCTAAAATGCCTGATTTCCCAGCAGCTTTTCTAAAAGATTGTGAGGCATGTTGTGATCTTCTTAGGCCTTTTTTTGCTATGAAATTGTGGAAGGAAGTGAAAAGTGCAAAAATAGTTAGCAATATCTTTGTATAATTCATTAAAATTCAAAGACAACTTGTTCCAGTGAGAATAAAATGTCTTTGTTTGGAGCAAGGGGTAAATGGGAGACATTTGCACATATCTTCAGAAACAAGGAAGTGAGTTTGGCGACGTATGGTTCAACATTGTGCGATGCTCAAGTTACGTACACGACTGCAGGAGCACGAACCCTGATAATTGTGTCATCAAATTCTCAGATGACGCAGCTATCTTGGGCTTAATGCACAAGAATAGCTCCCCATCAGTATAAGGGGAGAGTTGTGAAATGGTGTGATAAGAGCCATCTCACACTGAATGTAAAAAAGATGGAGGAGACAGTTTTTGATCCCAGAGGTAAAAGCCTGTGGTTATCCATCACGAATCCATCACTCACATCAGTTCCTGCAGGAAACCTGTAGTTTACACTGACAGCACATCAACCTGGGAGAATCATATTGAGAGATTGTGCTCCTGATTTCAGTAAAGACTGCATTTCTTACACAGGCAGGGTTTATAGAGCAGCGCAGTTCTGGAAAGTATTATAAGATTCAGTATTTCAGCTGCAAATGGTGACTTAAATGTGCAGCTAAATACTTTTATGCAGACAGTCTGGGAGATTATGGAGCTCGGCAACACCTTGCATGAGTAAGCTTTTTTTACGACATGCAATTAAAAGTGTCTCTGACTATACTCATACTCTTCCATCACACTCTGGTATAGTCCATATTTGAAATTTTGAATTTGAAAGTCTTTTGTTCTTACATCAATCAAGCTTTCTAAAGGAGTGAATGTCCTGACTTCAGTGGAGTTAGTGGACTCGTTTACTGTGAGTATTCATTCAGTGTAATTGCTGTTTGGGGGACAAAAAGTTAACAGGATCCTTTTCTCAACATATTATGTATTAAGTGATGTGCAAAATGCAACAGTATCTTTCAGATTATTTACATTTTATTGCCAAAAGTATGTAGACACCCACATATTCACACTTTGATCTTCCAGCTTTGTCGCAACACTTTGGCTATAAAAAAATGGTTTTCCCAGTTTGGTGTGAACCCCAACTGTAAGCCAGACCTTATCACCAACCCAGCATCAGTGCTGGATCACTGTGATGCTCTCATGTCTGTATGGGAGCAATTCCCAAACCTTCCCAGCACTCCCAAAATGTTTTGGAAAGCCTGAAACCAGAACAGTGGATGCCGTTATAGCAGCAGATTAATGCCTGTGGTTTTGAAGTGAGAATATGAACAATTGCATATGGGTGACCACATACTTTTGGCCATGTATTGCATCTAAGACCTAAATTAAATTATTCATTTAAATACTGGTAAATGTAGATGCAAGAAATATAACTGGCTGGAAAGGATTTAAAGTCCCAAAAGTGAAAATGATATATTATATGTTTGGATCATTTGGATGCAAACAATGATTTGTGAAGTTAAAAATCAAATTCCCAACAGAATTAATCTCATATTACATTTTAAAATTCACCAAAGGCATATCGACGACAACAGTTTCTCCTTGGCACAGATCATGTGCACCAAAAGTGGGGCATTGACCCAAATTAGGGTCAAGGCCATGAAAGAATGAGGCCCATTTTAAATTGTGTTCCCAGTCCCTGACACTTTGAGAAGCCAGTTCCACAGCCACAGACACTTCTTCCTCCACAGCCTGGAAAACAGAAGGTGTGAGGAGTTTTCATGTATGGAGGACGCAGCATTGGTGGAGACATGTGGCTTTAAATGTAAGCTGTTGAATTGTTTGCATTCAGCTCGTGCTATAAATACACTTCAGCGTGGTTATTATCAACTGCTTTTATCTTATTCCCTCTCCTGTGTGGAAGCTGCTGCACTGTGTCTGGGGTCGGCTGTAATCTGAATTCTTTAGGGAACGCATATCTAAAAAAGAATATTAGATATGAATCTTTTTGTTGCTGAGAGATTGGCTGCCTTAGCTCTCTCTCTCTCTCTCTCTCTCTCTCTCTCTCTCTCTCTCTAAAATGCAGGGTGACTCAAGCAGTAGACATAGATGTTCTCGTTAAAAGGAGAGACTGACGCTCCTATTCCCGCGACATCATCATCCTACACTAGTGGAGCTCCACGGTGCGCGTTGTGATGCTCAGTCCTGCACAGTAGCAGCTCCAGGAGGCGTGCTTGTCCCTGCCACAGGAGCCCAGGAGGAGGACCAGCAGAGGCCAGCAGGCTTTTTTACCGGGCACTTGACACACCGTGAAAGAGAGCGCTTTTTTTGGGGGTGCTCTGCCCCCGCCTCCCACTCTCCCGAGCGATGGCATCCACGGATCGATCCACGGGAGCGCGTGAGTTACCCTCTTTATACAACCCGTGCAATGTCTTTCATGTGACGGATACGGTGTGTGCTGAAGATACAGAGCAGACTGGATGTCTAACAGTGCACCACAGCCATGTTTTAGGCATCGCACCAACAGACTCGTCTCGAAACGGGCCAAACAACGGGGATTGTAAGCTCAAAAAAAATCCTCATCTGCTCTGTTTATTTATTGTACGCGCAATTTATTTGCAGTGGCCACAGCTGATGCATACATCTCTGCTTAAAGGAGCCGCTTTGGCAGCATCAGCAGCACACAGAGCGATGCCCTGGCCGCAGGCAGCCTTCAACTTCAGCTCAGTGAGGATGGAAAGCGGTCAGCAAAAGTAGTCTACATCTGTCGGGTCGTTGTTCTCTAGCAGGCTTTTATCACTGTGTGTTAGTATCCAAGTGACTTATTAGAAATGATCATTAATAATCTTTTATGAAATATCTGCACAGCCTTTAATAAAGACACAGCAGCTGCACTTGCACTGTATAGTATCCACTTGGAATATCATTTGAATTTGAATTGTAGGCCTGATGGACTGATGATATAAACGCACTTTTCAGGACATCAAATACAACCGCCTTTGAGACCCTGTTTTTTTATATCTGAAAATGTGTCCACGCAAAACAAACAAAAAAACTCAAGTTGGAGTTATCTGGATGGCAATGTTTCAGATGACTTTAAAAGTAAAAGACCCACCTCTTATAAATGTCTCAGCATAGCCTCCTATACAGGCATCACATCTGAATTTAAACTGTATATTATCCCCTCTTAATACCATCTGAATGCTATAATACCAAATAGAATACAAGCCTGAATCAACCCCTTAACATCCCTCTCAGAATGGTTAGAAATTTTAGGCCAGTAGATGTTTTAATCTGGAAAATTGACATTATTTTGCATGAACAACGCTCACTGGACTCACTATATATTCTGTTGTAACAAGAATAAAAGTCGTTTATGCCAATCCATGAAGAAGATGTGGAGATATTTTACTTGACGTGTGAAGACGCTGACCTGCTGGTGGTGCTAGATCAGGTCAGGGGATCATGAAGTCATTAGTATTTATCCATTTATCCACTGGGAACCATGAATATATGTGGCATTTCATGGAAATCCATCCAATATTTGTCAAGTTATTTTAGTCTGGAGCAAGGTCGTGGACCAACCAGCTGACACTGCCTGCCCTACAGCCATGCCACTAGCATGGCTAGACATATAAACAGTCGAAGGGAAGGTGCTAATAGGGCTGTCGGAAGGTTTTGAGGAATATTTTTGGCTTGGAAATTCAAACACTGGTCAAGGATAGACAAATACAAGATGAGACCAAAATGGAAAACCCAAATCGCCCTCCTTTTATTGGAGGAGCTTGCACGTGAGTGTAGCTGTATTAAATATATGATGATAAAGATTCAGATTAAGTAGCAAACCCTGCGTTGATAACAAACACACAGGGTTTTTGTATGAACTGGGGCTTTAATGGGGGGCCCGTTGGATTAAGAGTGGACAGCGGCGTGGTGCTGAAATGCAGCCGGGTTTATCCTCACTGTTCCTCTCACGGCTAAGAGAAATGTGGTGGGCTGATAACTCCTAACCGTGAAAAAGGAGCGACTACGCCAAAAAGAACCTGACTCCCTCTATTAGCATTCAGATCCCTGATTCAAGTCATTATTTCACATGCTCAGACAGGCCTGATAATAAGCTCCATGCCAAAGTCTGTCAGTCACTGTGTCTGCAGTGGCCTTTAAGAGGGGTCAGTAGGTTACATTAAGAACTCCTTATTTCTCGCTTCGCATTCATCTACAGAGCCCGAACTTCAGACTTCAGTTGATTACCACCACTTCATTTGAAGTATTCAACCCACCCTTCTTGTCGGTTCCCAGGGGGTCCCGTCCAAGGGAGGTAATTTAAGGAAATGAAACATGGCTTAAGCTTTCCTGCTAATCACCAATCACATAGCCACCGTACTGCTGTACAGTCTCTCACGGGTCTGGGCTTGTTTTTCTGTATTTCTGCCCTCGTTAATCATGTTTTTTTTTATTTCTCCACACTTTTAAATTGGATTGCAGCAAGCTCCTCCATGCTTGAAGCTGTTGTATAATGTACTTTGTTATGTGCTGATGAGTGCTGTTGATGCTGTTTTTCTGAAACATGATGCGCTGTTAAGGGAGGTTAGAGTATGCCAGTGATTTCATTCTCATGAGGAAATGGCCTCTCAGTCTGATTTGTTTTATTAGATTTATACCAAGGGCACTGTCCCGGCCCAATACAATATACCTAATATACCTGATATATATATTTTTGTTTTATTTAGCCCGATTGGCATCAGGACACTTGAGGAGAACGTGTCACCAACAGGTTGGGTCTGGCTCTGTTGTCACGGATGATTCCTCATCAGCGACACACCCGTTTGTGTTTGTTGCATTTGTGGAGTTAATTAGACTGTTTTTTGGAAGCTGCATTGTGCCAGCTGACCTTGGGGAGGGTTGTTCTGGAGTAACTCCTGCAATGTGTCAAACAAGAGTGCATTTGTGTGTGTGTGTGTGTGTGTGTGTGTGTGTGTGTGTGTGTGGTGGGAGGGGAGGGGGGGGTTACTGACGCAATCAGCCTGAGAACATTGGCACCTTCGATTGAACAGAGAAAGTGTTTTTCTCTGTTGAATGAATTAACTTGCAGAAGCAAATGTGAATTACAGTTGAACCAGTGTCTGTTCAGTGTTCTGGATGACACCACTGAAGATGAAAAATCATATTCTTACATGAAATCATATAGAGAACACTCAAAGTAACACATTTTAAGGCCTCGTTCAAATCAAAATGAACCCTGATTGAAATAGAAAGCATTTGCAAACTGTTGCCTCAGTATTGCAAAGTCAAGAAAAGCAGCAGATTATGAAGTCTATTTTAGCTTTTTTTAGTGGCACATTTTGAATCACTTAGGCAATTTGCAGATTTCTGCCAATTTCGGCAAATTGCACATTAAATTCTGACAAGCATGTAAATATAATCTGTTTTTCAGTTATTATTGTTTGCAGGAGTCTTCTCCGAAAGACATTCATTACATTTACATATGGCACAAGTCCTTATCTCCATCTCAGAAATAAATAAATAAATCATGGCAGCATTCATTGGACTTGATCTGATCTGACTTTTCTATATATAAATGTTGCATTATATAAATGTACCTGTAGTGTACAGCCTTAAAAATTAAACATAGAGGGGTCAAACTCGTCATCTCTCGGGATAGATGAAGACGGACGGTCACTGCAGCTGTGAGTCCAATAAGTCTAAACTAAACTAAGAGATAAATTATGTCATCTGTCATTGCCAAAGCCATTACAAATTATTTTATATTTATACATTTATAAGGTTTGATTAGGCTTAGGCAGAAAAATGACATGGTTAAAACAGTTCCTATTTAGCATTGCATTCCTATAACCTTGTCAGATTCATATTAGATCACAATGAACGCAGCAGAATCATAATGGTAAGCTCTTTCTACTTCCACACCCCCATTTTCAAACTTGTTGTCTTCAAAGAAAGACCGACGCTGACTCACGTGACATCACTTGAGGCACACAGCTCCTTCCTTTAACCACAAAAAGGATTTATACCACTTTTTTCACATCAAACAGACTTTAATGTGTAAAACATAGTAAACACAGTTTGAAAATGCTTTCTATTTTAATCAGGGTTCAATGGTTTTTAGATTCTTTTATTATTTTTAGATTTATTTTAAATTTTTTGTAGGTTGTTATGTTATGTATTGTTGTTTATAGAGTGTGTTGATATATGCCAGTGCTGAAGATGCATTTCCATTTTATGCAAATTAAACGGACAATAAAGTAATTTAAATCTGAAAAATAGAGTTTCCCTTTAAGGTTGTAGAAATGGTTAAAAGAAACCAATATCACTAACAGTGGTGTTTCGTCACAGGCTTTGTTGATTCATCGCTCTATGAGGTCTATTGTTTGGTGTTACAGTAGTGTCACGCTACTTCGGCCGTAGCTCCTTCACACGAGAGGTCCTTGTCATTAAATACAATCTAATGTTATTTTGGGCATTTTAACAAACCAAGAATATTGCCATTTTTCTTGTGAGCTACAGTCTAGTGAGTCAGATAAAAGTTCTTCATGGGCCTGGATATGCACTCTGTGTTGTTTCCTTCCCTCAACCTAACTGTCCTTTACTGACAGGATCTGAGAATTAGAGCTGTCAACATGTTGAGAGTAACACGATGTAACATCACTGAACAGAACACACTGTTTTCTTCTTAAAACACATCACTGTCTTCATCTTCTTTAGTTAACAAGGTTTATTTGGAGGCAGTTCTGCCATAATAATACACTGAAACATTTAAAAAAAAACTCAGAAAGGAAGTCAGTCAACCAAACAAAGGATATACAGAATACCAATCTATCAGATTTGTCACTTTCTTTCAGAAAGGTGAAAAGGATTCTGCTAAAGCAAATATGCAGGATTTTTCTAATGTTGTGAAACCTTGCCACTGGCTCTACTCTATGAGCTGCTTGTGTTAAGGGTTGTGTTTTTCAGACTGGCCTTCAAAGAAGAATTGGATTTGAAAAGACACAAATACCATGTGCTTTATTTCCTTTCACAGCTCAGAGTTTACTGTACATCAGTCCCATCGGGAAGGTACAAACAGTGAGTACTGGAGGTTGTCTGTTTCCTTTATCAGGATTGCTGTGCAGTCTGGATCAGATGTTCTGACAGCCTCATCAATGGTGTTAATGATTGTTCTCTCCAGTGTCACAGGGGTACGAGTTTAACATAAATGAATAAACTTCTGATTAATCATTATTGAATTAAATGTTACCTTGAAATAATTGTGTAAAAATTGATGTAAACAGGGGTTGCTGGAGTCCACAGGTCTGTTGGTGAGAGAATAAAAACAATGTTTACGATCCAACCAAACCTTTAAAGAGAGAAATCTGGGCCCTCCATTTTTTAATCTTTATCTGC